GTGATGTTTTAATTGGTTTTAGATTTAATTTAAGGTGGTAGCAGGGTAAAAACGCTTTTTTTTTAAAAAGTCAAAATAATTCAATATGCTTTATTGTAATGAAAAATACTAATAAAAAAAAAACATTTAACACTATTTGCATAAAAAATTAATAATGACGTCATCAATTGTACACGTCATGAACAGATTTTTGCCTTAATTTTATATGTTTCTTCCAACAAGGATAACTTAATGAAAAATGATCAGAATCACTTTTAATTTTCTAATTGCAATCTTTATTAGTAATACTATGTTCTGAGCGAAACAGAAAATAATTTTTTTTTTTGTAAACGCGCCAGGTTTACTGTCAAACTTCAAATTTCAAAAAAAGTAAAATATGTTTATGTAAAAATAGCACTGCTGGCTATGTTTTTATAAAAATTTAAAAAGTGCTTCGCTCAGAACACTCTAAATAGAACAATGTAACACCAAAAAAAAAATTCAGCTTAGTAGCTTTATCCAATCAAAAGTTATCTTTGTTAAAAGACCACAAAAATTGGGAAAAATTAAAAGCAAGAAAAACCTTAAAGAAAAAATAAATAAAATTAAATGAAACAATAAAACTCAAAAACCAAATTAAAATGCTCCACTAGCATATGTCTCTCCTTCCTCAAGTTCATTTTTATCATTATGACCTTTTCTAATTGAAAGAAGTTTCTTTCTTCTTTTTTTTACTGAGCTAGTTGACTTTTTCTCAGATTGTTTGACACGACAAATATCAGATAATCTAAAACCTTCTTTAGTGAAATACCCATTGTCTATGCCCAGTTTATTAAAAACTGGAAGCAGTCCTTGGGCACCGTCATTGTATGCAATAACAGCAGATGCAACTGCAGTTTTAAAAACATCATTTCCAATGTATACCCTTTTTGGGCACCGTGTCCATATCAAATTGTTCAAAGACTCATTGACATTCTGGGTCTCACCATGTAAACATTTTGTCAGAAGTTCATCACTACCAAGACCTCTGTGAGAAAATATTGGAGCAATAACATCAGAAACAGCTTTATGAATATTGACTTTTTCTTTATATGTTTTTGCTCCTGTGATTTTATCACTTTGGTATCTGCACCAAGAATCAGAGCTACGTGGACAGAACTGATGTCGGTTTTCTAAATTTGGCTCATCTGTTGCGTGATGTAAAACCGCATCAACAGCCTTTTTCATCCCATACAGGCTGCCACTATTTTGTCGTATGGCCATTCCAACATGATTTTGAAGAGTGTTCATGACTTTAGTAGTTAGCCGACCTTTCCCTCCCCCAATGCTTTTACCATCAGTCAACTTTTTTCCCTTGTAATCGGCTTTAAGTTTACGCAGTCGTGTTCCAACACGTTTTTGGACATGTCCTATACATTCTCCTTTGGTAATGCTATGACCTGGATATGGATCTGATTTACATATTTCTTCAAAGGATTTTGTATCACCATCTCCAATAAAAAATGTGTATCTTAAACAATGAAGACGTACTGAACGTGCAAACATTCTTTTCATTCCTACAACTTCCATAGCTCCAGCACTGCCAATGTGATTTATTGAACATACATGAGTTTCTTTCCAGTTATTATATGCATCTACATTCACTTTTTTTAGTTTCCACATTTCACATTGTTTACATTTTTTAGATAACACTTCAGTATCGATGCATTTCCCCTCCGAAATTAGTGTAACTACTCCATTCAAGGAAGAGTATCCTCTTTTTTGCCAAGCACCGTCACCACTAACTTTAGCATCAATAACAACAGAATCATCTACAGTTTTGTTAAAATGTATTTGTTTGGAAGCTTCTTTCATTGACTCTTGTGCTGTTTGTACGTAGGCATTATGCAACTCGCTATTAATTTCATTATATGTTGTTTTGGCCATTGGTGATGGCATATTCATGCAAGAACAAAATGTTTTTATTGCACTAAAACCTTGACCGATCTCTCTAAATGCAGCAATTGTTTGTATATTAATTTCAAAACTTTTTTTTCTGGAAGTAGACTTAAATTTACTGCACTCTTTTGAAGAACAAAATGTTAATTTCCAATTACATTCGGTGCATGAAATATTAAAAAACTGGGCAAGACCCATTTTATTTGATAAAATATGTTCAATGTCTATTGTTGCAATACAAACAGGGCATCGTCCAACTATATTAATAAGAGACATAAAAAGATCACTGTCTATAAAAAAATTGCATCTAGGGGTGGCAATTGGAGTATGATTATCAGAAAATGAAACATTTAATTTTTTTCCAGACGCTGATTTTAAATCAGATTTATTTTGACTCAGTTCATTGTTTACTGTTGTTGATGTATTGTTTACTGTTGTTGATGTATTGTCAGTTAAAGCTCTTGTGGTAAATCCTTTCCTTTTTCTTGATCGTAATTTTTTATATCTTTTTTCAGAACCCATTCCAAGTAATAATAGCTTTATTAATTAAAATATATATATATATATTTTTAACTGAAGGATATAAGAATCTATAACACAACCTTTATTTAGAAGCTCTGAGTTGAGAACGGTTTTTGAGGCTTTAGTGTATAGCTTATAAACTGAATAAATAGAGATATTTAAAAGAATAAAAAGAAGCCTTTTAGGTGAAAACTAGAAGTTTTGATCAGGTTTTAATCCAGAGATATTTGAAAAAAAGCGTTGCTAAGGCGGTTGCTATGGCCTAAGAACTTAAATACCTTTATCTAGAAGGGTAAATTTTGTATGTATGCATAAGTTTTTTTAAATCAAACCAAGTTTCCACAAAAAATAACACCCTAAAGATCTCAAAAATATAGTTTTTGAAATTTTCAAAAAATTTCAAAAAACGCCTCTTTTTCACCCTGCTACCACCTTAAATATTAGTTTGTTTTTAAGTTAGGGGCTGTTCAAATAATATTTAACACCTTTTTGGCTGTTTTTAGACACCCCACCTTTCCCCCATGTGACATTTTATGACATTTTCTGTCAACCTCCTCCCTTTTTCCAATATGCATATTGGAAAAAGGGAGGAGGTTGACAAAAAATGTCTCAAATATGAGACGTGACGTTAATTTTACCCAATTTTGCAACTTTTCGCTAACATTTTCATTGATTCCGCTGTGATTAGAATTTAAATTTTTAAAAAATTTGTCACGTTACACTGAAGCTAACCCCCCTCCCCCATGTGACATTTAGTAACACTTTCTGATACCCCCTCCTCCCTTAAAACTGTCACGTATTAACAGCCCCATATAGGTCTGTAAAAATTATACTTTCATATTGATGATAGTATTAAGTGGCTACAATTTTTTTAAATAATAAACATAATTTTTAATTATTCGACAAACAAAATTGCATTTCGAAATCTCTAATTTAATGTTTTAATATTTATTTATTTTATTTGTAAATATTATGATTCTTTGTAAGTTCAAATAAAAATATTTTTTTGTAAGTTCAAATAAATTTAGTTTTGAATACAACTATACTGTTAAATTTCAACAAAAAAAGTTTGTATATGAACATTTATCAAGCAGATTAAGCAAATGTTTGTATAAACATAAGAACTGTTGCTCGGCAACGAGGACATTTTAACTGTAAATGTGGTATACACATTGTGCAAACCATGTGTCCACAGGGAACAGCAGCAAAAATACCTTCCAACTCGGAGTATTTTCTAAACAAACAGGACATGTTGTTCCATTAGTTTCATCCACTACTCTTAAAGTCTCCGTGACTCCAACAATTTCTGTAGAACTATGTAAGTTTTCTCCGAGTTGGAAGGTATTTTGCACTATAGCTACACCATCTGTATTTTGCACTAAAGCTACATCCCGTGGTATTGATACATTAAGTTGCTGGGCTTCATCTTGTGGTGGAATTGAATTAGGCTGCGAGGGCTCTATTTGAACTTGCGTAAATGATGAAACTGTTTCCTATTCCGGTGGTTGATTTATACGACTAACGCCAAGTTGATTGTTAAATAACGCATCTGCGCAATGTGAAACACTTTGTAGAAATTCCAATGAAGTTAGACGTCCGTTGGCCAAATTTTCAGTAGCAACTCTGATTTTACGATCATTTAAAACATATTTCTGCTTTCGTCTCCGACGAATCTGAAGTCCACATTCTAAACGTACTTTATCAAGTTGCTGAACTTCTGCAAACTTTCTTAGTTCTGCTAAAATATTAAAAGAATTAAATGCAAATAAAAGATAAGTTCAAAAAATTATATTTTTATTTTATATATATATATATATATATATATATATATATATATATATATATATATATATATATATATATATATACACTGTAAAAAAAAAAGGTTTTTTAATTAGCTCTAAAAGGTTTTTTACTTTGTCACGAGGGTGGAACCCTTTAAGGGTTTTCTAGAAAACCCTTTTTTTAAAAACCTTTAATCCGAAACTAGAAAACCCTTTTTTAACTTGTCCTTTCTTTTTTATTTGAATTAAAAATTATTCAAAATTTTTTTATATTACGCAATAACGATTTCAAGCACGTATAAAGTTGGATATGTATAACGTATAAAGTTTTATATTTAGGATAGATTGAATATACACTTTAATTTATACATAATATTGCTTATATGCAAATGTTTAGATTCTTTAAATAAGTTTTTTTTATTGAAAACTCAATAAAAAAACTTATTTAATGATGTTTAAAATCTTATAACATTAAATTAATATACAAAAAAGTTTACATAAAATAATAAAAACATCAGAGACATGGCAATAAATGTAATACAAAGAAAAAACAAGTTGTACAAAACTAAAAAAATTGGAAAACTATAATATGAAACTATTATGAGCAAATTTATTAAACTATTATGAGTTATCATACAAATTTTCTGCTACAAATTTAACTATTACAACTATTATATTTCAACGTTATAAGTGATATTGAAGTTTATTGAACGTTAAGACCTATTTTCAAAAATTAAATCGAGAAATCGCCTAGTAGCACAATAAAATATAATAAAATTTAGAAATATTGCAAATATTCAGAAGTTTTTTCGAATTTAGTGACAAAAAAACATAAATAAATTATAAAGATTTACAACAAAAACAGACAAAAAACAAAAGTCATAAATTTTAGTGCAAAAGACGGTTGCCCCATTTGCTGACAATATTTGGCACTTTTCCTTTCCCACCAAGAAGCACTTTTTCTAAATATTGACATGTATTGGACAATCCTTTTGGGAATTCAATGCTGAATATCCAAAATGCTGCAAACCATGCTTGAAAAGCCGCGGAAAAAGTGCAAATAGTTTTAGGAAACAAAACTTCCTTGTCGACTGATATATTCCACTCGTCGTCTTGTGACAATATGACTGGACTAAGTAGTATTTCCTGTATAAATAAATAAATATAATAATTAATTTCATTAAAAAAAAACCTGAAACAACTTAAAAACCCTTTAGTACAAAACTTTGAAAATCATTCAATTTTAAAATTTCTTATTTGAAAACATTACCATATAATACAAATTATTGCAAACTCCTCAGCTAAAGGACATCAATTTTTTAAATTGTGTCCTTCGTATGAGAGTATTTACATGGACTTAAAATATTCAATAACTTATTTCCTCAAACCAGTAAATTTTTGCATTTCCTTAGATCTAATATTTCCTAATATTTCTTAGACCATCTTGTTATAAAATATATATTAGTTTATATAGTTAAATAAATAAGAAATATATTATATTGGAATCGACTATAAAAAATGGACTATAGAAAAAAAAGATCAAGTGCAATTTCCTAAATAGTGTACAATGTACCAATAAACATCTACCTGCTTTGGTAAGGGAAAAAACAATTCTTCTTTCTCCCCAAATAATGAGGGTAACAGCAATGTAACAAACATCACCTTCTAATCTAAAAGTATTTATTTCTTTAATTGTAAATATATGCAAAATAATACATTTGATAAAACTAGTATATATAAAATAGCAGTATTAGCACACATGTGTAATGTATTAAGAAATGGTCAAATGTTTTCAAGTTAATCAATATTTGCTAGAATTACTCGTGGAATTAATAAACTCGTGTAACTCATTGCCTACTATGACTAGTCTTAATTGATGTTGGAAAATTACAACTTTTTATTTTACAATAAAACCAGAATTGTAAGAATGAAAAATAAAAATAAATAAAAACCACCCTGTTGTTTATCATTGTCCAAAGTTTCTTCTAAGTGTTTGTTTATCATTCTTGAATATTCACAATACTTTTCGCATCTTTTGGCTGCTTCTTTGATCACAGCATCATAAAGGGTTAGAAATTTCATTTTTAAATTGGTTACATCTACACCATACAGCAAAAGCACATCTGCTGTAAACTTTAATTTAAAAAAATCATTTGTAAAATTCACCTACATTATGTTATTACAAAAATAAGCCTATACTTTAAAATTTAAATGTTCATAAGGTAATAATTTTTATATAGTCTTTCATAACTGTCAAAGAAAGTCAATAAAAATATTGTAAAAAAAAGTACATTTTATAAAAGAACAATAGTTCTTTATATAATCTTACAAAAATATTTAGTCGTAAACACGGAAATTCTTCCAGAACTTCTGCAGTTGTGTGGGCATGGCAGAAAAGTTGTCTGTACTCACAAGTTCTTTTCATTTTATCTTTGATTATATCAAAGCTTGGTGTCTGTTTTTTTATTTCTTTTTTTAAAGCATCTTGATGTTTTTTTATGCTTATGTCATCCTCACCTTGTACCACATTAGCCAACTAATAAAAAGAAGTTACAACTGTACATAGAGTGGTATATTATCTTACAACAATCAGCTTGTGAACAGTAACCAAAATATACTTTTTTGACATTATATACTTTTGACATCTAAATAATGTCACATTAAAGTAATTATACAAGGTTATAGCAAATAATATGTATATACATTATTACATACCTTAACTCGAGCTGTTTTTGAGAGGGTACTGTCGTCAGGATGATTAATTTCAACTTGATCTACTTTTCATTTTCTTCCCGAAACACCAGGCCTTCCAAATTTTTTTCTTGTTACAGCAATTGAATTTTCGCTACAAAGGGGTTGTCTGTATTTTTTAAATTTCCTTCGAAGAGCTACTCTAATAGTATTCTAAACTCAAATTACTTATTTAAAATGAGAAATAGACATATAAATTAAATTTTACAATACAATTTTCTTATTTAACAGATGATGACAAATATAAATATAATCAATAATATATAAAATGGTAATTGCATTACACTACTTCCATCATAATCAGCCAAAAAATGATATTTTAATATAACTGCTGAGCTAACAGCAGAATATATTCTTCTGGTTGGATACCTGTATAAAAAGTTTGTTATAAAACATTACAAAATATTTAATATTGATATTATAATATAAATCTAGCAAAGTAAAGAACAAATTATTGTTTTAAATATGAAAAATAATTAATCATGAAAAAAGGATGTAATGAAAATTGAGAAATGGCAAACTCAGAGTTGGCAAAGTATAAAACAAGAACAATAATTTTCAACTTACAAAATGTCACGCCTTTTTAAGTCATCAAATAGTGCATCAATTAAGAGCGCTTTGCTTTTTGAGCCTAAACCAAAACTAGCCTTGTCTTGACATTGTAGCTTAGCTACAACATTATCCGGAAAAAGTGGCAACTGATATACAAAAGGAAATTCTTGCACCTGGCTATATAAATAAAATAATCTATCACAATACTTCAAGCAAACCAGAGTAATTTCCTTAAATTACTCTGAATTAAATTACATCATTCAACTGTAATTAAAGTAAAGGTAAAAATATATTTTATAACAATAAAATTTATCATTAAATGCATAATAGTTCATGAACACAAGTATTATACAAATATTAAAGTTTTAAAATTAAATTAAAGTAAATTCAAATCAATGATAGAGTTTTATTATTAAAAAAAATATGTATATAAAGTAAAAATACTATAACAAACCTATGTACACATTCAGCTTCTTCACTGTCCACTCATTTTCATCCAAAACTTGATAAGAATGCAAATGATGTGAAAAACAATTTGGTGTCAATAGGTTTCCACATAACAACCAACAGTCACGTAAACAGACAATGTATACCACTTTAAAAAAAATTGGGACAGTTTCTTCTGTAACAGTATGCAACACATTCACTGCTTTAATAGAATAGAAAATACTATCAACTGATATTGATTTCGCTATAACTATGGATTCATTCCCTTCTATATCTAAATTAAGTAACAATCTTATAGCTTCTTGTACTTAAACATCCAAGTTATGAAAAAATCTAGGTGCGTTTCCAGACACAGTATAATTAGATAAAAGCATATCATCTGTCAGCATTTCCCAGCACTGCAACATTTGATGACGCTTTGACAATGTTTTGGTAATATTCTTAAAAGATCGTCCATTTGAGGCAGCTTTTTTAAAATACTGATGTTTAGATTGAAATTGTAAACACCAAAAATTTCGTCAAGGCCCAAAAAGACGTATCAGACGAGGGTAATGAACAAGCATGTGCATTTTTGGAATAATATATTCAGAACCAAATACTTTAGAAAATGTTTTCAAAAACATAGCAACTAGTTCTTTTAACATGTATATACTGTCACTATCTACAATTGGGGCAATAACAATGTCACATATTTCACGAAGTATAAGATAAACCTCCCAGCCAATATTTTTATGTGGTACATCATTACCGACTAACTGCGGAAACAATAGGAAAAGTTCTAATTTCTGTACAGCTGTTCCATTTATGTGTGCTTTATCTGATGCAATATTTTTAGGTAATTGGCAAGGGCGATTAGATGAATTAATTAAATGAATTTTGTTTATAGAATCGTTTATATTATTTACTGATAATGTATTACAAGAACGTAACAAATGTTTGATAACACATTTCAAAGTTACTTGCATAATGCCTTCAAATAAATCATGCATTATATCTGGAGGGAAAGCTGTAAGTACATCAAAGTTATCTAACTCTAAAAAATCACACTTTTTGCTAACACCATACACATTCTTGTTTGCTGCATTATCAATTATAGCAGCTAAGTGGTATTCATGAATTTCTGGTGTTCTGAAACGAAGAGTGCTTTCACTTAAGTTATTTCCAATTTCTGACTTGTCCACCATACAGAAACGACAAATTCTTCCAGTATGGAAATACTGCTGAAATCCTCCTATAGCATGAGTTGAAAGCATATCAGCTGATATACCTGTAAGTTTGCTTTTTAAACGTTGACGTAATTCATTGACGGAAACCTCAATTCCTTCTCTCTGCAGTACACTTGGATTTTCAGAAAAAAAATTGTCACTATGAAAAAGTTCACAGTCACAAAAAAACATCATAAAATCATTATTAGAAAGAGACTGATTGTAACTGTCACCCAAACAATTGTAAACATCTTCATGGGAAACTAATTTTGATAAAACTTCCAGAATTGAAATGTATTGAAAAACAGCAGTTGTATTATTTATTCTAAAATCTATGTGTCTGTTATATGTGCCCAATCATTGTCTAGTGGAAAAATATTATTTTTGAATAAATATTGACATATAACATCCTTAAAACTACTTAGTGTAATCAAAAGTATGTTTTGTATATCTTTTGCAATTTCTGCATGAATACTCTGAGTCGCAAAAGAAGAAATGCAAAATGTTTTTCCAAAAAGTTAAGCATATCAGTAATATTTTTACATTTAAAATCTTGATCTAATTTTACATTATTTTGATCATTTGATTCTTCGGTTGTTTCAGATGAATCTATGATGTTATCATTTCTATTATTTCTACTCCCCTGATCACTTTCATTATCATTAGACCAGCTTCTTAATAAATTACTGTGCTTTTGTTGAACATGTTTTTTTAGACTATCAGCACTTTTGAAAGTTTGCTTGCATGCACTTGAAACACATCTAACGTAAAAAAGAGGCTGATTTTCATGAAACAAGATAAGATGTCGTAAATACTTTCTAAATGAAAAATAATTGTTGCCACATTCACAATAAAATTGGGGTATATTTGGCTATTGTATATTATCAGGAATCTGAAATGTAAACAGTACAATTAAAATGTTTACTATAAAATGCATAATAATAAAAAAATTACTTTCAAATTCGGCTGCAGTCTTTTCATTAAATCTATTATCTAACAGCCATTTGGCTACTTCTGCAGGCGACCAGTTTTTAATATTTGCAGACATAATTCTTTAACTTTATTATTAGTTTTACTTTAAATTTTAATTATTAGCTTTACTTGAAAATTTTTTCATTGGCCTATAGGAATCTCATAGATAAATCGGTTAACTTAAAAAGTATACAATTTTGCGTATTTTACTTTAAAAATTTTAACAAAATACAATTTTAAATATAATAAAATAAAAATACTGTTTATTTTATTTAAAATATCATATTTCTAGGCAATTGAAAACCCTTTCTATTTTTATCCTTCTTTAATTATGCCTCGATATCGATAAACGGCACTCGGGTTTTTTATATGATTTACCACGAACTTTGCTAAAGGGTTTTCTAATAAAACCCTTTCAAAAAACCTTTTTTTACACACCAAAAGGTTTTCTAGTGGTAGAAAACCTTATGCAAGTGTGAAAAACCTTTTTTGGAAACCTTTTTTTTTTACAGTGTGTGTGTATATATATATATATATATATATATATATATATATATATATATATATATATATATATATATATATATATATATATATATATATATTTACTTATAAAAAGCCAAATGTTTGGATGAGCAATCTTTATTCGTTTTAAAAGCGAGGCATGGAAGCTTTCTTGATCAGAGTTCGTTCTTCTGGGACAACCAAAAACAGAAATTTTGTTACTGCCAATACGCCCAATCCAAAATGTTTCCATATAGGTCATTAAACTTTGACATTTTGCGAAGTCATTTATGCTTAATGATACCACAAACAAATTTGGATTCAAATTGCCTAATGTTGGCTGAATATGGTGAGGCGGTAGCAAAGAAAGACACAATAATAGTCTTATCCATTTCTTCAAATCACTGTGAACTTGCAATTTTAAAAATCCAAACAATCCAAGATGTTTACACTTGTTAACCACAGCCTAAATATAAATAATTGTAAACATAAACTTTCAGTACAAATAAATATATATATTTTTTAAATTGTATTTTAATTTAGTTTTAAAATTGCCATTTTATAACAAAAGTTATTGTATGTTTAGTTAAATATTTTTTTGCTTACATTTACGTAATGAAACCAACAGCCTGAAATTTCAGCTAAAGGATATTGAATTTCCAAGGTATTTATCAATGCTTGTTCATAGTCCGTCATTATCCGTAACGGTGACAAATGTGGAACGAGTTCAGCAACTTTGGAAAATGCAAGAGAATACAGTACAGCTCTTGCGTTTTTCTAGTCATAAGTATGAAAATAGTTGGAATAAACTAAAACAAAAAAATCTTTATTTCTTGATTCTTTACTTGTAGAACAACATTAATAAAAAAAAATATAATTTATAAAAAACAGTAGTAATAACAATTATAACAATAATAACAAAAATATTAATATATGGAGGGTGAACAAGAAAAAACAGGGAATATATATATTTTTTTTTTAATTCATTAAGGTGCTCTAAAAAAATCTAACGGTATTAAAAAACACCGCGGAAAAAATAGAATTTCTTGTTTACACCCTTCTTATATTTTCTTTTATTGATTATCTTACATGATCAAGCAAAATGTATCCAAATGTTATCATTTGATAAAACATTCTTGGAACTACCTTAAATGTTCCGTCAACGGAACATTTAAGGTAGTTCCGAGAATGTTTTATCAAATGATAACATTTGATAAAACATTGCAAATCAGTCGGTGAAGCAACGACTGTTTTCCCGATAAATATGTGAGCATAATTGTTATTTATACGAACGTACTCTTTGTAAAAATTGGTCCCGTCTAAAAATTTACTTATGTTGTTTACTCTCAAAGAGTTGTTTAATTCCCCGCAATTGGCTGGTAATTGCAGCTGCACTGATCTACGTCTGCGATACATAGTGCTTTCCATCATTCCAAAAGAAACGTGATGTGCTGATTGGTTACTAGCAGTTTCTTGGTCAAAAATATCTCGCAAACTTCCACTTGTAGTTTCAGCAGCTCGTTTTATTGATTGTTTTAATTTTAAAATTTCTTTTTTTTTCAAAATCTGGCAAATGATTATGCGGCGTTATTTGTACTAACGTTAAGCTTGGTTCACTTGTTGCACGACTTCTACAAAATTCATCCTTACATTTGAAACCGCCACCATACGATTCTGTTGCTTTTTTGTCTTTACGATAATAGTAACCATTTTGGTAATAAATTTTTGAGTTTTTTCTTTCGCCTTCGAGTATTTCCATTTTAATGTTTAACTAAAAAAAGAAAAGTTTTCTTTTACTATGACTTTTTTCTAGGACTAGAATTAATTATATGTTAAAACTTAAATGTTTTAACAATCTTTAATCGATTTTTGTACTTTGATATAATAAATTGAAGCGTTAACATTAAATTTAATAAGAACGTACTAATCGTTCTAACATTTATAAACTAAACTTTAAAAAATTCGATTTTGAGTGTCACCAACCAGTTTATTTTCTTTGTACCGGAATGTTTTATCTGAAAACGAATTAACGAAATTCCATTTTTAACCCAAAGCACTTATTTAAATTACTTTCTCCATTCGAATTTAACTATTTTCTTTACTTCTGTAAATATAATGAAGAAATATGTTTTTTCGAAATTGAGTTGCGAACTAAAAACTAAATTTTTTTACTACGGAATAATAATTTTTAGTATAGAAGTAATAAAATGTTTTAAATATTTGTTGAATATTGTAGCGAATATAGAGAACAATATACAGGGCCGGCGCTAGAGGGGTGCAATTAAGATTAAGCTGGTATATCCCTCAGAAAAATCAAATTTTTCAATTTTTTTTTGTTTAATGTTATTTAAAATTTATTAGAGAATCATATTCTAAAAATCTTTTTTTTTTAAATCTAGCTTTAAAATTAACTTTAGGAAAGCAAACTTTACTAAACCTTACTTGTTTACGCGTCCCTGACAACCTCCATAGCAAATAATGGTTAAATTTTTATTTGGCTATAAAATTCTCCCCAAATAGAGTAAAATTGGGTCAAATGGAATAGTTAAGAATTTTAATTATTTTTTTTCACGGAAAAATGATTTTAAAAAATTTCTTTTTTAAAGAGAATAAATTTAAATTTAATTTAAAAAAAAATTTTTTTTTAAAGAGAATAAATTTAAATTTAAATATATAAGAATCGGTATATAAATATATAAAAAAAAAATATTTTATTATACCCTGACATTCGGGGAGAATGAAATACGCAAATCTTTGTGCAAATAAAACAATTCTTTTCTGAAAAAAACAATTATGAAACCAATAAAAAACAGTTTAAAAAACAACCGAATAAGAAAAAATTTCATTCATATCATTTCATATTAGAATAGATTTAATAACGATTTTATTATTTTTAATTTTTAACAAGTTTTTTTTTCCAGAAAGATATGCACAAGGTAAAATTACATTGAAAATATTACTGGTAGGACTTCCAGAAGATCACATGATATTATCATGAAGCCCTTTACAATCTATATAACGAATTAAAAGGTAGAAAATTTACAAATATTAAAAATTACATAAGCGTTAGTATATTCTTCAGATGTTAAGCAAGTTTTAACATAATATTTTATAATATGGATATATAACATTCTCAATATTGAACAATATTATAATATAAAGTAATCAGTATATTAAGGCCTTCTTAAACAGGCCGCGACAGCTCATTTTCTGTAAAATTAGCGAGGGCCAATTTTTTTACGGTTAAAATTATTTTTTATCTTTGCTTTTGTAAACAAACTTCAGAAACAAATAAAGAGCTTTATTAGGACAAAACATTTTGATTGAATTTCGAAAGCAAATATTGTAGGAATTTTTTTTACGTTTAGAAATAAGTTAATTACAATAAAAATTTAAGGAGTTTAGCTAAAAATGACTAAATCTCGTTTTTATAACTTTGTAAAATAAAATAAAATTTATTTGTAAAATTGTAAAATAAAATTTATTGTATTGTATTGTAAAATTTATTGTATTATTATTGTATTGTATTGGATTGTAAAATAAAATTTATTTTTGTTAATTTTTTGAAAATATTTATATCAATTGTTTAAAAAAAGTTTTTTTTCTTTATTGCCATATATTGAAATATATGTAAAATATTTAGGAAAGTCGTTGTTTGCATTTTTATTTTGGCCTTAAGTAACTAGCTTAAATATCTTAAATAATTATAATTAAATATTAAAAATCTATTAAAAAGTTATATATTATATAAATATCAGATAATAAAAAATGTTCAAGAAGTCAAAAAAGTATCCGTGCAACGAAATATTAATACAAAAATATTGAACGGTTCGTTAAAAAACTATAACGGGTTCTTTAAAGAACCTTATTTTAAGGTTCTTCCGAAGAACCTTCGCAAAGGGTTCTTTAAAGAACCTCTACGAGTTCTCCACCAGCGTCAACACGAAGAACCCTTAAAGGTTCTTTGAAGAACCATTCGGGTTTAGAGTGTAGATACGATATAAATGAAATGATTATTATTAGATTTTAGCAGCCGTGGTGCAGTGGTTAGAGCAACCAAAGGTTGCGGGTTCGTTCCCGCTCGAAGCACTTAAACGCTCGAACCTGTTTTTTATTTATTTGAAGACATTTGCTAATTTGAAAACATTAAATGTTGTGAAGCGCTTTAAAATCTATTGTTTGTTTACCTGTTAAAAAAAGAACTAAATTTATACGAGTAAAAATTTATGCAGAACTTCTTTTTTTAAACTCTTTACAATAAACTTCTTTTGTTTTTAATTTAAATTTAAAAGTATTATTACTATTTTTACTTGGTAAAACTTAATGGCTAGGAATAAATTTGCAATGGCCATGTTTTGGATCTCTGGCCAAGATTTGATGTTTTTCACGCCTTGTAATATTTGTGCTAAAACTTGTTAAATTATTAACAAAAACTTCCAAACTTGTCATAAATTGTATCTCAAGAGGTTTTTTAAGAGTTTAGAAATATTTTTAAGAATCTAAGTCATTCGCGGTAACATGAAGCAGTTTAAAATTAAGCGGCCATGATTTGGTGGTTTTACCCTAAAAAAGTTTATTTAAAATTAGAGATCATTATTTTAAGCAGTATATAGTGCATTTTTGGTACTTAAATCATTTTTAAACATTGCTCATTGTTAGTTTTGTTTATTGTTATTCTATATTTTTATTAAATAGCACCGTTATTTAAGGTAAATTTAATAACACTTCAATGTCATTTAGAAAACAAAATTGTCGGAAAAAGTGCTAAACCGCGTAACTAGCATTGGATAATACCGCATATCTACAATACATTTTTTTTACTGAAGAAGTTTAAAACTTTATATATTTTTTATTTTAACTGATTTTGGGTTCATTTTCGTATAAAATGAACCCAAAAGTATTTATTCATATTTTTTGTAATCTCAACAATAAATATTTGGTGTTAAAATTAATAATATCCGAATATAGTAGCCAATGCTAGTAACGCGGATTTGCACTATCGCCGACGAAATTTTTACTATTGTTTTTATCTCGCTTGCTTTTTAATCTTTTAAAAAACCTTGCAATTAAAAATACGCAAATATAAATAATCGTTCCTAATGGGATATGATCTAAACACAACCTTGAAACTATACTTTTCTTTACATTTAAACATAAAACATAAAATATTAAAAATATTTAGTTCGTATATATTTAAAGCTTTTATTTCTATAAGAAGTGGCGTTAAGCTTGAAAAACGATTTCCAAAAGTAATTATGCGAGCTGCGTGTTTCTGATGCCGATAGAGAGATTTAAGTTTGGTTTTGTGAGCGCTTCCCCATATAATATTGGCATAGTTTATATGGCAATGAATAAATGAATAATATAGTTGAGTTAGTTGCTTTTTATTTAGTATATATCGAGCTTTGTATAGAACTCCAATGTTTTTAGCAACTTTCATTGAAATACTATCAATTTGCTGACTCCAAGATAAGTTTTCATCTATTATGACTCCTAAAAATTTTGTAAATTTTTCTCTTTTTATGATTGTATTGTCAATGAATAGGTCAGGTAAGATATTTTGGATTCTCTTTTTTTTAGAGGTTGGGTGAAAAAGTATAAACTTTGTTTTATCCGTATTCAAGGACAATTTATTTTTTCTAAACCAATATGATATTCTTTTTAATTCATTATTCATATTATTAAAAAGTATTTCTATGTTTTCGTGCGACTGAAATAAATTCGTATCATCTGCAAAATTTACGGTCGTAGGGTAGAAGCTTTGTAAAGATCATTTATGTATAATAGAAATAATAGTGGTTCAAGTATGGACCCTTGGGGGACACCGCATGTTATATTTTTTATTATTTGCGATGAAGATTCTTTGTTATAAACAAATTGTTTGCGGTTACTTAGATAGCTTTTGAACCAATTTAGGGTTTTATCTTTTATACCATAGCTCTCTAGCTTTTTTATTAAAATATGATGATTAACAGTATCAAAAGCTTTTGACAAGTCAATGAATATGCCTAGTGTGAATTGAGAATTCTTAAATGAATCGGCAATACTGCGTGTTACTTGGAGAATAGCCTGTTCAGTAGAACTGTTTCTGTGAAAACCAAATTGATTTTTATAAAGGAGTTTATTATCAATAAGATAAGTGTAAATTCTATTATACATTATTCTTTCTAATATTTTTGAAAAGACCGGTAGAACTGAGATAGGACGATAGTTTGTTATGTTGGTATGGTCACCTGTTTTAAAGATTGAGTTACTTTGGCTATTTTCAAACTATTTGGAAACGATCCTTGAGTAATAGATGCTTTGAAGACTTTGAAGAGGATATCTTTAACTTCATTAAAAGAGTCGATTACAATATTTCCATTTATATCATCAGGCCCTATTGATTTATTCCTTTTTAATGATTTAAATGCAATTTCGAATTCATTATAAGTTAGATTTGAAAAGTTTATAGTTGAATTTGATGATGATATAAATTCTTCAACAGAGTCGTTGTCTACATAAGGAATCTTGTTTGATAGGTTATGTCCTATTGACGAAAAAAAGTTATTGAATTTGGCTGCGATTTCATTTGAATCGGTAATTAACTTATTTTCAAATTTTATAGCATTCGGCATCGTATTTGTGTTTGTCTTATGTTTGCTAAAAATTTCTTTCATTATTTGCCACACCCGCCTTGAATTATGCTTGTGTTTTATAAGCAAGTCAGAGTAGTAAATTTGTTTGGCTTTTTTTCGGAGTTTTTCAAATAGATTTTTGTAAACTGTGTAGTTATTTTTATGTTTGTCGGATTTATTTTTAAGACATAATATAGAGTTTTTGTTTTATTTTTGATGATTTTTTTATTCCTTTAGTTATCCAAGGACAAGATATGTCTTTGGCGTTAAGAACTATTTCTCGAATAGGAAAATTTGTTACATATATTTTGTAAAATAGATTAAAAAAAGATTTGTAGATGATATTTATATCCTCATTAAAGTTTATATAGCTCCAGTCTTGGTGTAAAAGTTGCTCTTTAAATAAATTTAAGTTATTGTTGCTATAAATTCGTTTTTTTAATGTTATTTTACCATTCGTATTTGTTTTGTGGTCAGCGCCTAAGCAGAAAAAAATTGGAAAGTGATCCGAAACATCAGTTTTTATAATACCTTTTTTGAGTGTAATATTGAAATAGTCATTGGTAAGAACGTTGTCAATTAAGGAGGATGAAGACTTTGTTATTCTAGTAGGTTTATTTATAATGGGTATTGTTCCCGTTTCAAATAAATGATTATAAAACTTTGTTATATATTTTTTTTTCATTATACTGGAAGCAGTCAAGGTTGAAATCCCCCAGTATATAATTTTTTTTCTTTTCTTGGCTAGTTTTTTCTATTATATTATGAACTAGATAATTGCTTAGGTACTCAGTTCTTCCGGTTGGTGGCCGATAACAGCAGCTTAGTAAAATATTTTTAGATTTTTTATTTATTATTTCAACCGTTAAAATCTCAATATTATCATCAGAAACACTCATATCGCTTCGAATATTATACGCAAGGTTTTCTTTTATATAAAAAAGAACTCCTCCTCCACGCTTATTAACATTACGCTATAAGAAGACTGTATTAGAACCTGTAAGATGGAGATTGGCGTTTGGTTTAAAATCTTCCTCTGTACACCAAGTTTCAGTTAAGCTAATAACGTTAAAAAAATTTTCCGTTTGACAAATCATATTTAAAAAGTTATCAAAATTTTTTTTTAAACTTCTGATATTAAAGTGGATTTTATTAAAATAATCACGATTATCATTATTTTTAAATATGCTTTTAATTTTATCTGGATAAAAGTAAGAGCATTCGAATTTTGATCCATTAATCTCATTAAAATAATTAATATCTGGATCAGATTCGTTGTCTAAATTAAAAGTATTTGTTTGAAATAAATTTGATATTTTTTCAAAATCATTCCGATAAGTTAAATCCATTTTGTATGTTTTTGTTATTTTGAAAATATTTGAAGGTTTTTATATACACTGGTATATATGTACGCACACATGTGAACATATTACATATATATATATATATATATATATATATATATATATATATATATATATATATATATATATATATATATATATATATATAAATATATATATATATATATATATATATATATATATAAATATATATATATATATATATATAAATATATATATATATATATATAAATATATATATATATATATATATATATATATATATATAAATATATATATATATATATATATATATATAAATATATATATATATATATATAAATATATATATATATATATATATATATATATATATATATAAATATATATATATATATATATATATATATATATATATATAATATATATATATATATATATATATATATATATATATATATATATATATATATATATATATATATATATATATATATATATATATATATATATATATATATATATATATATATATATATATATAAAACCCTTTTTTTTTGTTTTTGTTTTTGTTTTTTTGATAATTAGATAGTCTTTTCGAAAGACTTGGTGATTAATTTATTATAAACAACTTTGGCAAAATTACCTGATGAACGTATTTCTTTGGCTTTAATGAATAGTTGTTTGCGAATGTTGATTTTTCTCTCACTAAAATCTTCATTGATATACATCTTTTCGTTCCATAATTTCAGCTTTTTGTAGTTATCTAGTATAGTTTCACGATCTTTATAATCTAGAAATTTAACTACTATAGTTCTTCTTCTTTTTTTATTCCTGTCGTTGTCTTCTTTCTTCCCAGTTCTGTGCGCACATTCTATATGTATTTTTTCGTTATCGATCGATTTAATTCGTTCGGGATGGCCCTGCCCACTGTGTGGGGTAATGTGGGCCTATGTTACTTTTTCACATTTTTTTCATGAAATATACCAACTCATAGTAAAATATGACTTGAGTCATTGAGTATGTATCCAACTTAAACTTTTTGTTCAAAAGTTTAAAGATAATAGTGTTACAATAAATGCGCTAAATCCAAAATATTCCAATGATATTCCAATTCAAAAAAGTACTTATATTAAGCGTAATCATGATAAAAAAAATTTAAGGAATAAATTAGACGGATGCTCAAATAAAAATTAACCAAATGTTCTAGTATTATATATTATAGATTCATTATTCTTTAAAAATGCAATGTTTATTTAAAAATAAATTTGATAAGATTCAAAACTGTTACTCTCCGGTATCTACTAGTTTCAATGGAAAGTTACATCTTTAATGATCGTCTATATGAATCCGTTGAAAAATAAAATCAGAAAAGCATTGCCAGAGATCTTACTTACATTTTAAAAGTATTTATTGCTGTAAAAGTATTAGATTTTTAACAATGCAATAAATACTGACATATAGGCCCAGATTACCCCACCCAACTATGTTATCAATTTAAAAAAAATAAGCATATTTTGGTCTTAAAAGAAATTGAACCTAGTTATATAGTTTATTTTCTTTGTGATGAACCATTTTTCATATTTTAGAACCCGTTTTTAGTTCATTTTTATTGAAGTTTAAGATTTTTAATTAAAATCTCCTAGTTTAAATGTATACGCCATTTTGAATAAAAAATGTGCTTTAAAAACTCCCTAGTAAGCTGATAATTTTAAGGTAATTTTGAGTTTACATGTTTTTTTAAATCTTCAAAAGTGGCCTAAAACCGCAGTAATGTAGGCTTCTTATGCAGGTAAAAAAACAGTTAAAAAGTTATTTTTTAACTGTTTTCTTACCTGCATAAGGAGCCTACCCAGTGGGCACGGGACCTAAAAAAGACATCTTTTGAACGTTCAAAAGACGTCCAAAACGTTCAAAAGACGTCCAAAACATTCATAAGACGTTTAAAAGACGTCTTTTTTACGTCCGTGTCCACTGGGTAGCCTAATTTTTTTATGAAAAAAGTCATGAAAAATTTGACGACCCTGCGCGACCTATTTTTTTTAACGTTTGTTAATGTTTGAATCACATTTGATTCAAACATTAGTTTTTCATAAATATTTTGTGGCTTATCTTTTGGTTTTAAAACTTTTTTTATACATGACACTACAGGCGATGCAGTGCGAATGTATGAATGGTCAATTTTACTGTTTCCGTGTTTCAAATCTGTTACACCACATTTTTCATTGCCTAAATAATAGATAATAGCAATAAGACCTTTGGTAGTTTTTTTATGAATACTTGTTTACTAAAATTCACGGATGTACAATGTTTTTGGCCTGTAGTAGTTTGGGTAAGATAATAAGATTTTTTAAAACCTTTTTTGCTATTCTTAAAACTTATTATTTTTCCATCTATAATGATTGCATTTATAATCGTCATTTTCAGACTTCATTTTAAAAACAAATATTCTACCAGGAATAGATAGAATGGGTGCAAACGGAATAAGTTTTACATCGTTGTTTTCGATGTAAACATTTCGACAGCATCATCTGCCGACAGCATCATCTGCCAACATAAAGTCATTTTTATTTTTAATAACATATTCCTCAGTTTTTTGCCTTAACTAATCAATTCTTTTGATGTCGTTGCCTTCATTCTTAAATAAAAAAATACTGATACTACAGATTTTGAAAACCGACTGGCTACCACCAATAACGTGTTATTAAGGAAAATAATAAAATAGTTGTTCGATTATTATAGGTTAAAATAACCTATAGGTTATTATTAACCTATAAAACTATAAATATTGACGAACAACTTCTTGCCTATTTTTGTAATAAACTTTAGTTTATTCTAATGACACTAATGAATATCAATATTTAATGACGTGTTATTTACATCAGTTGTGGTTGTGCTCTCTTTTGCTTTATTAAATTTTTGAATGAACTTTCAAAAACCAGAAAAGTTTATAAAAAATAACTTCAAACGTACTTTATGGAAACCCATAACTTCGTAAGTACTTTATGGCAACCCAAAAGGAAAAGTTTTTTAAAAGTTTTTTCAAATATTAAAATAGTGCTTTTTTTGAATATGTTTATTATAGCATAAATAAATTATTCTAATATTTTTATGAGCTTTCAAAAGCTCTTATAAAACATTTTATAAAATGAAACTTAAAAATTAAAAAAACCTTCAATAAGGGTACGATACTTACTGTTCTGCTCGACATATCTTCCTGCTGTTTTTAACTAAGCGACATATCTTCCTGCTGTTTTTAACTAAGTATAAAAGAGAATGATCATTACAAATAATGGTAATCGTCGGGTTATCAATAATGTAAATAAAAATAATATTTGTGGTCAGTGTAAAAATTATTAATCGTTATTTGGTTTTTTGCACGAGTTGAATATCATCTTCAAACTAATTTTTGAATTTTTAGCATTTGGTTTGTTGTCATTGGATACCATTTGCTTTAACAATAGCAAAATCAAAATGTGAAGATTAATGTTGACGTAGTTGACATAAAAGTTGTAAAAATTTAATTAAGTATCCACTCAGAGGTTATTTCAGTGGTTATCGGCATGGTTGTAGAGAGAGAGGATTATACGGGTATGTTGTCCTGGGGCCCGGTTTTCTTTAAGAGTCCGGAGCAGGACTCTTAAAGAAAGCCGGGCTACTTTTTTTTTTCTCCCATAAAATGGGAGAAAAAAAAAAAAGCTAATTTGGCATTACATGGTGCTTATTTTCAGCCAAGATAGAGCCCATAAAGAAATTTGCCCCGGGACCCATCTTGGCTCTCTATCAGTTATCAGCGACTTTTATTTTTACAATAATAATTCTGACTTTTTTGCACTTAAGCCAGTTTTTGCAATTGATTTGCACTTATGCTAGTTCGCACTTACGCCGATTCGTAGTTATGCCAATGTTTATAAAATCTTTCGGCGCACTTATGTCAGTTCGCGCTTGTGCCAGTTCGCACTTATGCCAGTTCGCACTTATGCCAATTCGCACTTATGCCAATGTTTGCAAATTCTTTCGGCGCACTTATGCCAGTTCGTGCTTGTGCCAGTTCGCACTTATGCCAGTTTTAGCAATTGATTCGCACTTATGCCAGTTTGCACTTATGCCAGTTCGCACATATGCCAATGTTTGCAAATTCTTTCGGCGCACTTATGCCAGTTCGCGCTTGTGCTAGTTTGCACTTATGCCAGTTTTTGCAATTGATTCGCACATATGCCAGTTCGCACTTATGCTAGTTCGCACTTATGCCAATGTTTGCAAATTCTTTCGAGGCACTAATGCCAGTTCGCGCTTGTGCCAGTTCGCACTTATGCCAGTTTTTGCAATTGATTCGCACATATGCCAGTCGCAATTATGCCAGTTAGCACTTATGCCAATGTTTGCAAATTCTTTTGGCGCACTTATGCCAGTTCGCGGTTGTGCCAGTTCGTACTTATGCCAGTCTTTGCAACTGCTTCGCACTTATGCAGATTCGCAGTTATGAAATTCGCACTTATTCAGCCTCCCCTATTTCCTGAGATCGATCCCTGTTTTGATTGGTTAAAAATTTTGAGTTTCGCAGAGTCCGGTTTTAAAATTTATCGTTAGCCGGATCCTAAGATTTACGTATATATTTGTGATTTACGTATATGAGATTTTAGAAAATTTTATACGCATGCTTTTAACATCTTCTTTAGCAATATAAAATTTTGATATCCACGAGGCTAAAGTGTTGAATATTATTGAATACTTGTTACTTGTTTGTTGAATTTAAGTTTCGTCTGTAACAATTAATAATAACGGCATTTTTTTTTTACTTATTGTAATATTAATTCTTTTATTAATATTGATAAATAATATTTTAATTACCTTTTTTGTGTAGATATAACCTGCATATCATCGTCAGGTAGGAAATGAGAAATTTTTAGAAGAGAACATCCAAAATCTCAATCTTCTAGATCAAGATCTAGTATGCAAATATATTAATACTATGTTAATGGATATGATATTAATAATATTATATCCATTAACATGATATAAATATATTAGCATACTAGATCTTGATCTAGAAGATTAAGGTATTGGATGTTCTCTTCTAAAAAAATTCTCATTTCCTACCTGACGATGATATGCAGATGTAAGCAAATATTAACAATAATATTATTATTGTTGTTAGTTATTGGTTACAAAAATAATTGATAATATTATTATTATTATTATTGTTATTATCAATTATTATTAATATTATTATTATTATTAATAATAATAATTGATAATTAAAATAATTGATAGCAAAAATAATGATATATAACTGATAATAATAAAAAAAAGTTTTAGTATTATTATGATATTATATACTATTATATAAGAATGTTCATATATAACTCCCTGTTCATTTGTTTATTTTTTATTATTAGTTGATAAAGATTTGTTACATCTCAATAATAAGGTTATTTTTTTAACTTGTTATAGAAGTATTATGCTACATGTAACTAATGTTAAAAAATATTATTTGAATTACTTTTTTTTATATAGATCTAACCCATGTCCTCATCAGGTAGGAAATAATAAATTTATAAATTTTTTGTTATATTTTTTAAAAATATTTAGAATATTTATTCGAATGAACTTATAAATTTAATCAAATTGTGATTATTTTTTTTAGAAGAAGAATATCCAAGATCATCGAGATCAAGATCTAGTATGCTAATAAATTAATACAATATTAATTGATATAATGATAATTGATAGTAATAATAATTTTTTTCCAATTTTCTGATACCTGTTAAATAAAAATAAAAAGTTAATAAAATGTAACTAACAAGAGAAATGATTAACTATATATAACAATATAAAAAGTTGAAACTCAAAAAAGATTTGATTTTGATGTATATAGTTTAAGTATCTATTCTATGCTGGATAAATATATACTGACACGGCAATATGTGAAAATATATTGACAGAATAGAATATGTTATTTTAAATCTAGTTTACAAATCTAATTTTTGTCATTAAAGAGTAGTTCACAGAAACAGACCTTTTTTAAATCAATAAAATGTCATAAAAAGCGTGTTTAATCAGTGATTGAACCATTGTTTTTAATATTACTTGTTGACCTAAAGTAGTAGTGGTGTAGTTGTAAGAGCGCTGGCTTTGTAAGCGAAAGGTTCAGAGTTCAACTCCCATCATGTCCCTGGAAGTACCGCGCTTAACTTAATTTCTCAGCGCAGCAGCCTTGCTTGTCAAGGTTCGTGTTTCGGAGTTAAAGAGTTGAGAGAGGGTTGTACCACGATTTACAACAACAACAACAAAAAATAAGTAGCCTCCTTGACTGTAGTGACCCCCTCGGGCCTTGGGGAGGTGAATAATTAAAAAAAAAAAAAAAAGGTAAATTTAGTGATGTAACTAATACATAAGCATAATACTAAATATATACTAAATATAATACTAAACATAATACTTAACATACACTAAATATAGTTTTTTATTTTAGGATATATATAGTATGATCAGGCTTGGTCGGGAAGCGGGTGCGATCGCACTTGATAATTGACCACGGAAATTATATTTACTTGCGAAAAGCCGGCCAGATTTTTCAGGCGTTTTAAGAACATTTAAGTTTATGCATGTTTCCTTGTTTGTCCGCAAAATAATAAATTTATTATTTTAATGTAAATTTCAAAATATTTTGTTTTACGGACGTACATGGAAACTTATATAAACTTGAATGTTGTCAAACATCTTGGTGCGGAAAAATAAAGAAAGAATATTCGCGAACACAAAAAACCCGCCACTAATTTACCACCACTAATTTACGAACTAATTTACCGCCAATTTACGCCACTAATTTAACGCCACTAATTTACCGCCACTAATTTACCACCACTAATTTACAAACAACTAATTCTATTGGTTCAATTAATAAATAACTGAAATTACTAAAGAATTCAAGCGAATGTTCTTGAGTATTCTGTTGAATTATTTTTCAAAATCGTATAATTTGAGTTTTGTTATGTTTTCGTTGAGATTTCAAACATCAATTGTTTTAAGAATATACTATCAAACGAACAATTATTTTAAAACAATGGCTCATTCTCGGAGTCACATCTACAAAGCTATAAATGTTTTAAACTAACATTTGTTTACAAAAATAAATGTTTTAAATTTATATTTTTTAACTTGTCAACGTTTTGTAAATATATTATAGATTTAATTAGTATAATCTTATTTTTTATATATAAGGGATATATTTATATGTACGTAATGTATTAGAAATTGGTTTATTAACTTCAATTATTTTTGCTTCAGCCATTCTTACAAACTCGTTATACTTACACTTAAAGTTACTTTTTTCTGTAAAATACTAGTTAAAGATATAAAGCCCACTCACTAAACATCATCAGCGATATTGTTAAGCATTTATAGTTAAATTATGTGGCGTTAGTTTTATTGGTTAAATCTTGTTGGACTTTACAAGGCCGGGGGCTGCATTATTTTGGTGTTCTTTTTTATGTGCGACAGCGTAAATATGACTTAAAAATACCGATAGGTCCTTTTGACTATTT